AACGATGTACATATACACCATATAATACAAGCTTCTAATTTAATCAAATTCTTGTTTAACTACAGTACTCAAATACCTATTTCACGGAATTATTGTGCTCACTTGAATAAACGCAGTATAAAAAGTTGAAGCTAATAACAAATTTATTCTTTCAAAGATCCATATAATTTAGCTTCAGTTTTTTAGCAACACACCTAAGATTGACTATCAACTTAAAAAATGTGAAACTCTTTCAAAAAGTCACGCGATATTGAATCGAAAAAAGTTTCAGTGAAGAATTGTTTTCTTTTAGAATAGTGTGCGTCCAAGCTTCAACTTTGAGCAACACATCTACTGTTTTAMGTTGAACAAAATTGCCACCACCTTTGAAGCAGATTGATAGATTTAAACTAGCAACACACGCAAAAGCGACCCCCTTAAACTTATTTTATTAACGCCAACCTGTAATTAATTTTTTCTTCTGTATAATCAATTAAACACAGTCYTACGTCCAACAGATTAAGCTGATCCAACGCTTAAGCAATTCCTTTGGTAAAGAATATAATAATTACGGCCTGTGTTTACAAAGAAAAAAACAACAATCGTGAGTCTGTTGGACTTCAAACGATCCCTATCTAATAATTTTCTCTCTTGCACGTTCTCCGACTTTGTCGAGAGTTTTTTTGTTGTTTAATAACAAAAATACGGCATCCTTTTAGAATAATTCTATWTGACGACAAAGGAGTTTTGCGTTTATCGTTTTCGACTCCCCTCTCCTATTATGTTACCGCCAATAATTTCGGAAATGTAAACTGCAATAATAATTGGTGTGTTTGTATTAAGGAGTGAACATGGAAAAACCAATTTAATCCTTAATTTAATAAATATGGATTATCTAAAGACKATATTGAGTTTCTAAAGCCAATTTGGTTAAGAAAACTTTAAAACAATCTGAAATAATAACGATCTTAAGAAGATTGGTCTTYGCGTCGATCAAGAAAAGCATCGATYATTTCTTGATGAAGAAATCACTTATCCACGTATATATTTAGCTTTGAATTCGCATAGTTTTGTTTCTAAAAGGTACAATATCTATAMACGCATTTGAATGAAGCATTATATTAAAGAAAAAAGGTCTTGTTTGATGTAGTAACAAAGAGAAAAATAAAAAGAGACTACTTATAGAGCATAAAAAACTGAGTCCTTTCAATGGAAAAATAGGAAGGCAGAAAGGTTCAAAATTTGTAAAGTTTACCATTTTCCATGCTAAATCTCGATTAGAAAGCTATCTTTAAAAATCTGTTACTTTATGAGAACCGTCTGCGATATAAAGTAGGCTAATAAGAACTACAAATTTAGATATAAAACTACAAACACAGAGCTCTATAAATATCATGCTACTTGGGTCCAAGCCAGTAAAACTATCGGTGAAAAATCCCCAAAAAAAWTTAATTTAGAATTATAATTTTGCTACAATATAACAATGCGCTATTGAACAATTCAAAGCGCGATGTTTCAAGCTGGAAATACAGCCTCATGTGTCTTTTCTAACTTGAAATACTGATTGACCAGTCTGGAGCGCTGTGGTAGCCACGTTGTTTCAATGTTAGAAYTCGTTTTCCCCCGCGCGCATTGTTAAGACGTTTATATCTCTATTCTAAAAGAAAAGTAAAAAAAAATGATTACGCAAAAAATAACAAAAGATGAATTCATAGATTTAAACAGATCGCAATAGATACGCTTATATCTATTTTGCTTAGCTGTGAAATGTGACTTAGGGTGGTATGAACTCGCTTCCGCACACATTACCGAACTATGAAGGTAGTAAAACAGTGCCTAAGCTATTAAAAAGTTGAAAGTTGTGATTTATTTGAGCTATATTGTATCGCTATTCTTATTTTCAAAGCAAATTGTAACAATAGAGCCTGGAGAATATCACAACAGCAATTCTCCTACTAGACAAGAAAAGCTGCTGAATAAGAGCAGAATAATGTGTTAAATCCGACAGACGACTACCCCAACGGATATATTTCCTTAAACCGTCGTTGAARCATCCTTTCAGTGACCAAAGATTTAATTTTTCACACTTTGTCATTGTATAGGGCCCCACCCAGACAATAAACCAAACCAAGTTTTGTTAATAATTCAAAAGCTTGGGCAGTAATAATATACTGTTCTCGGCCTAATTTCGCCTTGTATCTGATCTCGCGATTCGGAACTAATCACACATAAAAAAAACAGGATTTGTGTTTGTATTAGACAATGCAAGAGAAAAAGATGGAGTTTATTCGTAGGTTTAAACAATCTTTTATTGATGGAATTCCAAAGGAAGTAAACGTGGTTCTATGCAACGCCAGCCGACACTCAATCATAAATTGAATTAATTTATATTTTGCATTAGATGTTACAGAATTACGAAAGGGCTGGCTATCTTTAAGATCTCATAAATCGATTCTTTTCTGCCCTTATTCTTAAATACCGATACCGTAACTTTTTTTCACTTCAATGGGATAAAGCACGTCAAATTAGACAACAGAGAGCTACCAAATTCACAATAAGGCGCTCTTTATCGTATTATTGAATTCCTACGAAGGTTGCTTAGCTATTCACTTAGCAGAGCCCAAAATACTTAGTTGTGTTAAAATCCTAACTACTATCTACACTATAAATATATACATAGGAAACAAAAAGATTGGATTTATATCTTGATATGTGAACAAACGAAGATAAACTGGATAAATATTTACAAAGCGACTCTTGTTTGAAAACGCGCAAGTGACAACGAAAACGAATGGCATAGTTTCTCCTATACACAGTACTTCACTGCTGACTACCATTTTTGTTTCATAAAGCGCGAATTGATGTAAAAAAAACGAACCACTTTCAAGGAAATTATTTACAGAGAGATTAACAAATCCTAGATTGTAATTTCAGTGATAAGAATTATTAGTTTCCATTCGTGGCTCCGTGAGAGTCTATGTTATTCTAAGTTGGTCMGMGAGTTCGTAGTATCTAGCTGGTATTACTACTAGCTGTGACTTCTTTGCATGAGAGCGTTTTAGTCGATAGATTCAGAGATAAACTTGTCTATACATTTTTTACGTAAGAGTCCCATAACAAAAACGCAATAACGTTCGCGCCGTAGAGAGTCTACTTACGGAAGAGAGCGCCCGTCTGTGGCCTGCACCATTTTAGAGTACGGCGAAATCTCGAAACACTGTTCATATTCAACAATAAATCGTTAACAACCGTACCAATTGGGATTTTCTTCTCTGTTTTCACTATTCGAACTATTGTTGTTATTACTTGTCCCCGCGTTGTTTCCCAGCTGTAAAGACGGTGATTCCGATGGACTTTCAACATCTTGAGTAGAACTACTCCCGGTTTCAAGTAACGGAGGCGGTGAAGGGGACAGCCCATGTAATTTCATGTGTTTTCTAAGTGATGAAGGATGAGTATAGCTCTTATTGCAGCCCTGATACTTGCAGTAGTAAGGTTTATCCGACGTGTGGACATGGGAATGCTTTTTACGATCGCTAGAGTTTGCAAAACGTCTATCACAGCCGTGATACTCGCATATAAACGGTTTTTCTCCAGTGTGAGTTCTTTTGTGAATTTTCAAGTTCTCAGAGCGAGCGAATAATTTCCCACAGCCTGGRAATGGACATGGGAAAGGCTTCTCTCCTGTGTGCACTCGTACGTGGTTCACTAGTTTGTATTTTGCCTTAAAAGGAAGACCATTTCGTGTACAATTTCTCCAATGACACACGTGCAAAGGGGAATCGTTCTGGCTGATGTGTTCGTCGTTGATRTGTCTTACAATATCATGCATTACACTGAACTGCTTGCCACAAATCTTGCCTTTACCGTAATTTTGCGGATCGACCCACTCACAGCTCATGATCTTGTTTGTCGGCCCAAGGTATGGATAGTAAACATTCTGGTGATGTTGCATAGGGTGATGATGTTCAAATCCAATCGTCGGTTGAGAGTAAAAATCTATTCTCTGGTACGACGGATACCCTGCTCTTTGCGGTGATTCAATCTCTGGAGGCACAGAAACCTGAGGGTAAAATGCTCGAGCGTGTGACTTCATGTCGGCCGGTTTAGGTTGATGTAGCGCCAAAGGGTTGAGGCCTGACGGGCATGGAGGGAACCTTGGGCCTCCATTCGCCAGCGAATCAAACATTGAGTGCCCATGAGAGAGGGCCGTTGGAGGACCAATATAATCTCCGTGGCTGGACGAAGGACATGGCGTTCGGTTAACATGTGATTGGAAGGAATACGGTGAGCCATCTGTTGATAGCACCGACTTCGGTGAGTTATAATGAAGAGAGTCAGGAATTCTGTGCGGGATGTGGAAACCAGCGCGTGGTATTAWACCCTGGTTTGTATCGATATATGGACTTAGTCCAAACGGCGATTCCTTGGTTGGATCGAGCGGTCTCTCAATRCCTTGGTGAGACAACGCACTGCTTTGAGCATACATGGGCATATTGTCCATGCTGGACTAAGGAAGCCTCGTTGTTGTATCTCTCTGTTCCGCAAGCTACGAATGATTACGTTCTACGTCGTGGACACTTTTAAGGCTAGCGTTTGGGTATTCACAAGCCAGCCCGCTCACTACGATTAGGRAAAACAGTATGGCATGTTACTGAATAGGGTGCATCTGGTCCGTTCACTCGAAGCTCAGCTTGATACCAACAAACTCTATCCATTGGTTTATTTCGCTCTATGTTTTGGCAACGGGCAGTCCGTGCTATCACTCAATAACTCAAGCTAACACACCACATATAAGATCGACAGAAGCGTGTTAAATCCACAAAGGGGTAATATCACCTTTTTAAGAATTTGACGGTATTTAGGTTAATAATGACTTCAATGATATCATTTCATGGCAAGGAACTAACCGTGGGACGTTCAAATCTTGAAGCTGCTTTGTTCTTTTGCTGTTTTTTAACGGGAAATATCGTGGAGTTTATCKMTAGGACATTAGCATGTGGTTTATTATTTACTTTGACACATGGATGTAGGGGGCGCTTTAGCTTTTATTTGACAATAACGTACTGCCTTGCTATAATACTGAAGGGATAACTCACTTGATTATATACTTTCGTTATTGGGCGAGATTTCTTAACGAAGAAATCACGTCAAAATTTGATCCTTGTCGAAGGAAGTTGAGTTCTTCTCAAGGCGCGTTGCCGCTAAATCCTCGGTAGGATATCGCCAGCGAGTTCGGCAGGATATGYTAGTGGAATTTCTACCGTGGAGTTTATACCTCTAACGTAGTGCTAAATACATGGCTTGAAATTGATAGCTTATTTTAGTGGCTCACGCTACCAACTTGGTTTTTGAACTCAGTGCGAAAGATCGAAAGAATTATTAATATAAATTCGATGACATAACGCTTAATTCCTTGCCCCGCCTCAACGGAACASACTAATTTTCTTCGTCACGGAAGGCCTGTTATATGACGCCAAAGTGGATAATAATTTAGACGATGATTATAGSAGGCAAGCGTTAAAGAATACACTGATATATAGAACTGCGATGAAGCGTCGCGGGGGCCAGCTATAAGTAGACATGGCACGGTCATACACCAAGACCTTCTAACATTAGAAATATTGTGACATAATAGCTATAAACGTGATACACACGACGTTGTTTTTATRTTTTTAAGAGATATTTAAGGATGTRCCTATCTACATAATGAGAAAAATTTGTTTTATTTCGAGKCGAGGGTTGTGGGATGAAACAGCAATGGCGAGAATTATACACAACAAACATCAAGGTACGATTTCATTCTGTTCGCGTATAAATATCGTCTTCTATCTTTCGCCGCGATCCTACGCCCTGGGAACTTTGACATTGTTTAGWCTTAAAACAACACATAAAATAAAGAAAAACGGAAATCTGAGAGCATATTTTGAGTTTAGTAGGCAATAAAAGTAGACATGTATATGCTGAAGTAATTTTTGCCTAATCGTATAAGAAATAAATCTTACGTTGCCGGATCTCCCGAACTACGAATCTCGTTAACTCCAAAACGTTAACTACATAGTTTGATTATTATTGAAAGTAAAGTTTGACAATAAAACTTATGTATACCGATTTAGCTACGATCTATTGATTGTAATTTACTTTTGCAAGTTTAAGGCAAGCAATCGTGTAATGGSTTGCAGATTAGAAAATTTCTGTACTCTAATCAAGTTATACATAAACTGAACATATTTTCAAAGAAGATTAAAAAACTACATCAGAAATCRCACATTTTTGGGCAAAAACYCGCAAATTGAAGTAAAGAAACAAAGTCAATATAAAGCTCAATGATTAAGTGTTTGGTAAACATATGAAGCGTCAAAAAGACAATGTGTTTGTTCAACCCAGACAACAGGATATATGTATTTAAGATAAGAAGTTAAGATAAGATCTTAATCACGCTAAATACTGCAAACGACTGAGAGACTGCGGCCCGTCTTATTGGACATCTAGTGCTTTATTTTAAAAAAGAGTTTAACTAAATTTGTGTATCAAGATTTTCATAATCTCAAGCTTTGTAGCTTTGATTCATAGTAATGTTATGCAATAATAACTATCTGATCAAGTTGAGTGAACACTTGGTCTGGTTTTACGAATAATATTCGTCGGATAAATCCTTTATCCAGCGCTTAAAATCCCATACAAAATCTRAGGAGTAGATAACTTTAACCGGTGCATAAGGCTATCCGCCCTGTGTTCAACAGGACCAGCATTTTACCAAGACCTTTATGCAATCTCCTTAACCCAGTATTTGCATTTTTCATCAACTTTGATGTATGCAGTTTCAATCAACATATCAACGAACGCTTAACAATGTACTGAAGGATGTACAAGAAGAAATTGGTMGCATTGGCATTCGAATGTAATACAACGAAAGCTCATGGACGCTAGCTTATAATAAACYTTATTTACAGTCATTGCAAAGAAATACGACTATATTACAAATGTAAATATATATATAAATATACCTTCAGCATATCATTACTTTACTGACTTGAGTACTGAAGACTAGCAAATGAAAATGGACTTGCAGATTATAAAACACAACCTTGTATGTCGGTTTACAAAATATTTTTCGTACTTAAATTGAATGCTATATAAATGACAGAGAAAACGGGATATAGAAATGCTTAATATGAAGAAAATCAAATCTACAAACATTCTTTTTGCAGTTTTGCTGAGAGAATTCCTTGCATGTCCCTCGAAAGATGTTGAATTCGTTCAGCACGCTTGAAAATGCATACGTTACCAAAGAGCAGAATTGACAAAACAGTGTTTAGGAAGACATATATTACAATATGAAGGATGTTTGCGACATTATTTTAGCATTGAGTTTTCGTTTTCAGAAAATCAAATGCATAGATTAGTGAATAGAAAATATATAGAAAAAAGAAACGTCAAATGCCAATGAATGAACGTTGTTGTATTTACGATAATATCAATAGCAAAAGAAATAATAAGAATTTTGATAACTTATAAAGAAAAAGAAGAAGACGAAGAATAGCAAGAACAAGAAGAACTGGAGGAAGGACAAGAAGAACAAGAAGAACAAGAAGAACAAGAAGAACAAGAAGAACAAGAAGAACAAGAAGAACAAGAAGAACAAGAAGAACAAGAAGAACAAGAAGAACAAGAAGAACAAGAAGAACAAGAAGAACAAGAAGAACAAGAAGAACAAGAAGAACAAGAAGAACAAGAAGAACAAGAAGAACAAGAAGAACAAGAAGAACAAGAAGAACAAGAAGAACAAGAAGAACAAGAAGAACAAGAAGAACAAGAAGAACA